AGACAATGGTCAGGGAAGGCATTTCAAACTTGGTCCCTACTAGAGATTTCCATAGTTCTGTGTCTGAGATAAGAGTCAGTGCTCAAACAGTGACAATATCCTGGTCCCTGCATAAAGACATTTGTATGGCAAGTGACAAGAAAAAAGCTCTTTCTGAAAATAGTTTCTGACAAAACATATACTACATATGCAAACATGTAGAAAAATGTTCTTTTTGGTGCAAATGCAAAATGCTGTTTTGCATTTATGTTATGTACTGTATGGCACAAACTCAACACAGCATGGTGGTGGCAGAATCATGTACTCGACATGCCTCTCATCAGCATAGTAAGAGGTTTGGCAGGGTTGAGGGAGAAATAAATGGTGCAAAGTACAGGTGAATCTTACAGAACAAAACTGTAATCACCTAAGAATCTATAACTGGGTAGAATATTCACATTTTAGGAGGACAATTGCCTAGAACACATGCCCAAAACCACCCTGGAGTCATCTGGTAAGAAAGTGAATGTCCTTGAGTGGCCCAGTTAAAGTCCTCTCTAGAAGATGTATGATGTATGACTTAAAGATTGCACTCTATAAATAATCCCCAACAAACTTCTTTATAACTGGAGTAATTTATTCAGGTATGAAATGAACTAAATGTTTGTATTTCTACTATACACTATACTACTATACAAAGCTAAATGACCCATTGAAAAAGACTCACAGCAGTAACTGCAGGCAAAGAACCAAAGGTACTGTAGTTCTATTATGCTGTGCCTGAGGGTATGAATACTTGAATAAGCAGGGTATAAGGATATGAATAAGCAAATTTCAATTGGTAAATATTCTGACATCCACCTTACTTCATGCATAGCAGTGCTTGATGTGATTCTTGTAGTTCTTAAAAAAGTTAATTGTAAAAAATATATACAGTACATTATATTATGTGCAATTCATTAAAATGTTACATTAAAGGTAAAGGTGTATATCTTTGCAAACACTGTATGTACACTGTAATATATATATACAGTACCTGTATATGGGGTCAATAAATCTGTGTAAACTGGTTTACACAGGTGGAGAAATTAGTTCAGTGCTTCCAACATCTCTTACAATGGAAATATAGCAATTCAACCCTTACTCTCAAAATACATCATTAGGAAAATAGAAATTAGTCACATTTGTATATAGTTAGCTAATTTGTGGATGTTGTATCTCAGATACATAGCTGATTATTTGAAAAACATGAAAACACTTTTTTACAATGTGCTGTCTGGTTAGGCACTGGCCTACTGTAACTGTACCCTGCAGGTATAGAAAATATATGAACTTTATCTTTTGCAATGTACAGTATTTCTATCACACATAGTTGAAATTTTAAATGATAACTGATTTTTTAATTAACCAAGCCAAAAAAAGGATAGGAAGATTATGATGGCTTTCTATCACCAAATTCTTTCTGTTCAACAAATTCTGTTTTGAGATTTGAAACAAATACTTTTTCTATCTAAGCAGGAGGACATTTCTGTACAATTTAATATATTTAAAGGTCTGAAGAAGTGTCATTTAAATAATTGCATTATAAAGTGTTGCTGTCCATGGTGCTGTAAACATGAAGACAGGTGTGGAAACCTCACCTTTCACAAAAGTATGTCTTATTTTGTGAATAATACTCAGCTTTGCTTATGTATGTTTATACAGCATATAGTATATATGTACTTTAATGTCTGCTGTTAAGCAGTCACGGTTTTTGAAACACTGCAGTTTGGAGATGAATTAATCTTGCTTAAAAATACAACTTGTCTTATGTTCTTATGTGTGGCATCTCTAAGCTTACAGATTCATAATGATACATCTTCACATGCCTGTATTCAGGAAATGAAATCTGAAGCCAGCATCTGAATCAGTATACAACATAATCAGTCTTTTGCCATTTTACATGTAGATTTATTGAATCCAGACTTGCACTATGACTGGACAGCACACACATGGTAAAGAAAATAATTTCTCTCCCTCCACTCCTCTCATTAAAATTTAAAGCAATAGGAAAACTGCTAATATACAGTACAGTCTGTTATTTCAGGTACTAATGTAAAATGGGATTGTACTGGGTAAGGTTAATAACTAGGAGTTATTCTCAATGTTAACAAATAGTTGACTTATTAATTTTAATATACATGATCCTATAAGATGGTCTCTGACAATTTTATAACTAGAATTGAGTTTTTCCCAAGAAAGGAAGACAATATCTGAATCTAACATACATCTCCTCTGAATTACAATAATTACTTTTCCAAGATTTCATAAATTTCTTATTTCTGTGTGTAAGGAAACATGGAAATGTATCTCAAGAAATCGTTTCTCCATATAGAGACACAATATACAATGCCCAGAAAGGATGAGGTTCACATTGACATGGCCATTGCAGTGTGTTTCCTATAAGAAAATTCTTACACATTTTTTTCTAGTCTTAAACATTAATATGACACATTTGCTAGCCACAAATGTTACTTTTAAACATTAAATTATCTTTATATGCAATAATCAATTTCTATGTAAACTGTATATGAATAATTTCTGTGGATTCTGCTATATCAAGTTTCACCTCCAGCCCAGGTCCAGAATGCAACACGTCTGATTGTGATGTATATTTTTTAACATTGGTTATACTTTTGCAAACAGCTATGCTAACCATCATTTCCTCCCTTCACAGAAACACTCAGTTCTTCACGTCACTGTGTTGACCAGAATATTTGGTGTGTCCCAATTAAAGAGCATGAATACAGGCAGCTTCTCTTCTGATAAAACAATGTGCAAATTCAGGAAAAGCAATATTAAAGCACACAAGGCAGTAAAGACAAAATGGATTATAGAAACAATATTAATTCTACAAGTTAATAATTTAATTTTCAAATTTAAGTTAAATTTGTATTTGTTATGTATGAGAGTTTGTATTAGAGTGTGTATACAACCCATTTTCTTTTACTGTTAAACCTTCTTGATTGTTATAAAACATTTGAGCTACTGTGTGAAGCACTTTGAAGTGAACACTTGAAACAGAAAACTGTCGTACAAGGTTTCATCCACATTTAAGGTGATAATAATATGTTTTTGTTCCAATTTAGCTTGTCTAACCATGGCTTCAAACAGTGCATATTGGTCAAAAGACTGTTCTTAAAGATACCAAGAACGGGGTTTTAAACCTATAAATATGAAAAACCTAATAGAAATAAAAGGCCATCACTTAATCTAAAGCTTTCTGAGCCTCTCTCTTTCCTTTGACACATATCACTCTTTTCCTTTCTTTAGAAAGAAACGTTACTTCTCTTTCCCACATTCACTTCTTTATTCCTACACTTCACACGTTCTATATTTCTTTTTACTGCCATTTGTATCTACTGTTTAATAGTTCTTGTATTTCTGATATTATCTCCAAGTAAAAGTAGCAGGTCTTATATTATACAGTATGTGGCATATGTTTGTGTTCATTTTTACACATATTATCTTGCCATTAGTTCAAATACAATTTACTGCTACTGGTATAGCACCAATGTTTAATAATTTAAGTCTAAAATAAATGTCTACATACAGATTTCATAAACTTAAGGGGTTGTATGGCTTACGTACAGTACAAAGACCTGTTTCTACCTCGAAACGCCGTGAAATAGAATAAATCACAGTTATTATATACTGTAAATGAAAACAATATAATATAAAGTATAGCTAAGAATATGTTGCTACAAAATAACTAGTTTAGCATATCAGTTTGTTACTTCAAATATGCAGTTTTTTTTAGAAAAATAACTTGTTTCTTGGTACTGTACATGGTTCTGCATATATCTGAAAACATATCTGCACCTAATAAATCATTGTCACTTCAAGTTTGAAAATCAAGCTCATGTTTCAGGTACAACCCAAGGGATATTAACTTTGTTAGTAAAAAAAACATTTTTCATGATGTTTTGTGCTCTTACACTATGGCTTAAACAGTACATCCACAAAAAAATTATCCTGGAGCTCCTACTGTACATACTGTACATAATAACACTTCACATTTTCTGAAGCTGTTGGACTTAACAGAATGAATGGATTACATAACATCACTGTGTTCTTCTATAGGTTCTCAGAGGTTCCTCTATGTCTGTATGTAACAATACTGAAGCTTCACATTTCAGGAAATGTATTAGATATTAACGGATATTAAATGGTAGGAAATATTACATCAGCTGTAATCATTAGCTATAATCAGTTCATTTAAAGTTGAAAGTTTATGACTTATGTATTACTTCAGCTTAAAAACCAGATCCATAAAAGCACCAAACACAGTACATTTAAGTTTTTTTTTTACTTCTTGAACAACCTCATTCTTGCTTTTTATATCTCCTAATTTAACTAAAAATGTAAATTCTCTTCTGAGAAAAGGTTTACTATCATAATCCCATTAAACACAGAAATGTTACTTTACATTTAAAGCTTGCAGCAATGCTATTATTTTGCTGGCTGAGGTCTCACTTTTACAATGTGTTTTTTAGAAAATATAGAGACAAGAATGGAGATCTTTCATCCTCAGCCCTTATTGGAAGGAAAATGTGCATTAGGAGACCAGAAACCTAATGCACACTACTTGGGCAATAATCTAAGGCAGACAGCCAGGAGGAAAACCATACAGTAAATAACTCTTTTTTATTGCAGAAACAATCATGTTCTCTTGATTGGGCTTAAATCGCAGTAGTAAATAGCTGTCTGTTGAGGCCACATAAAGTTGTGCATAGACTTCCAAGTGTGGATAACTTTGACAACAATTAAAAGGAATATTCAGGATGCTCAATAATACTTTGCTCTCTTTACTGACAAGTGGTTTAGGTGATGTTTGTGTTTAGTGATAGGAATAAATCAATGGATTCATGGAAATTCTGACCTCTAGCTTAGTGCAAATGGAATGTTTGAGAGGGGTGCACTGAGTACTGTAGAATGTGATGTGAAATGTGATTCCCTAGCCTACCTCAAAAAACACTCACCTAATACTTTGTCGTTCTTGGTGTTCTGCTGCTGCCCAGAGGTAGCTGAAAGGTCTTCTGGGACAGGCATGGGCTCTTCTGTCTCTTCAGATGTATCATTTGCAGGAGGACTTTCCCTGCCTATAGAAAATGTGTGAGCCACTGTTACCCATTTAGTTAGAATTCTGCATCATAAACATACCAAACACTGAATAATGGTTTTAACTTTTAAAGAATGTGAATAATCATAATATTAGTACTCTCAAGTGAAATGAGCCCTTATATACACAGTATATAACAAATATATTTTATTAATTCACTGTTATTGTGAAGCTAATCCTGTACCAAATTACCTGTTTGGTTGTTTGTAAAGTAATTTGCCAATATTTTACATATAATAAATGTCAGTATCTATATATTACTTTAACTACAATGCAAGGAAGGTTATTTCAATTAAATTGACTTTTAGCAATCACAATTTACAGATAGCTAAAATATTCAATATTTTATGTGTAATAAGTTGCAAAAAACATATATCACATTCAAGGATTAGCAAAGTTTAGACATAATAATTGAGAGTCTTCCCCAGTGGGAAAAAAAAACGACTTGCTAAATGAAGAGTGTGCTTCACATTGTCAAACAGAAAGCTCTCCATTTGACAGGAAAATAAAAAAACTGACAGTCTGTAGTACAGATAACCATCTCTTCGTTGTAGATTCTCATACACCGGATGGCATTTGACTGTACATACGTCAGCAATTTATGGTTTTCACAGCTACATAAAGGCAGAGTTAATACAGAATGTACCATTCAATATCCAGTCCTGTTATTCGTACAGTATATCATTTTACTCTCAAAACGACGAAGGCTAATTTTGGAATGATACAAATATATATTTTTAAACAAATTAATAAATTCTATCATGTTTCTAAAAACAAGATTCACAAGGACTATAATCAGGTCAGGATAATTATCCTTAAGATTATCAGTAAGATTCATAAAGTGTTTTTTGCTGAAATCCAAGATGTTGCTTAAGTTTTGTCAATAAATAAAGAAACAATATGAGTATTTGAAAACTTCATGTAAAGGGTAAAAATAGAATTATGAAAATACATAAGCTTATAAATATATTTTTCAGTTGGTAAAAAAAATGTATTTTAGCTGAGGCAAATTTGAAACCTGTCTCTTAAAACCAGTCTCAAGATTTTAAAGTTGTATAAAATAATTAAAAACGTATTTGGAGTTTTTAATATTTTGGGTTTGTTATTCATTAAAAAGATTTTGATACAGTATGTATCACACCACAATGAATCTGCAGTGTCCTACAGCTGTGCCCTCACTTCAGGAGAGCTTCTGGGCTTCTTTATTCATTCCACTTAAGCTCTCGATGAGTAAATCACTGGTTATTCATTACTGAATGAATTTAGCAAACTTTCCTCATCTTCTGTCATCTACAAACCCTGTAGGACTGTAATGTCCTTGTTATAGGGATTTGTTATAAATTACTTTTTCACACTGTCTTAAAAGAATGAGAATTTGTATATTCAAAATATAAATTTCTATGATAATTTTAAAATTTATTTGGCACATATTGTTTAAATTACTAACCTACTATAACCATGTAAAATGGGCAGATGAATAAAAGATTCTATAAAATTATCTGTATCCATTTGACCTTTGCAATAACCATTACCAAGATAAAATGCATGCTACTTCAGGATGTTAGACCTGTATGCTTAATTGAATGAGTCTCTGTAGCAACTGATATACTGTAGTTAGCACACTACAGTACATTTTATTTACAGTAGTGGGCCAATGCCATCATTTTGAACAAAAAACAAATCCTCTTGTCACCTAAACATTGATAGGTCCTTCTATACTTACTCTTCTTTGCGTCTCAGGAATATTTTTTGCTTTTAGGTAAGTATATTTATTTAGATTTAAAATTTAGAAATCCCAAGTTAACTCCTAGGTATGATGTACAATATCCTGAGAAACTGCTTTACTATACAGTATGTTCCTCAGTGAGTTCCCTGTATCTGCCAGTGACAGCACCATCACCACCTTCTAGTCTGCTCTTGTCAGATCTTCCAAGCAAGCAAGGCTGGGTTGCTGTTGGAAAAGGCTTTTGTGGACCAGTAGGTGGCACCTTCCCCTTTGGACTAAAATATTCAACCCAATGGTGAGGAGGCACATTATGTTGGCTACTATAATTATTCATCATTAATGAGTCGTTAATGATCTTGTTATCCCCAGTTACATACAATTTACTATGCAACCTGGATTTAAGCTGATTGTGAACTTTTTCTTTCTTATTCTGAAGAAGACATTCTTCCAAGAAAAGTGATACTTTTAATTAATTATTAAAAGTAATCTGTCTGATCCAGCTGTACAGTGCAGGATATACAGAGTAACTTTTGTGGTCTTCTCTTTTTGTCTCTCCTTCTGCTTTGTGAGCACCACTTCTTTCTTCTGTTTATACCTTTAGCTTTGCTTTGACACATATTGCACTTTGTAAGCCAGAACAGTGTACATGTGAAAAGTGATAAAAAAACTATTTTCATTTATTCAAATGTTTCCATTACACAAACAATTAATCACAAATCAGTTTTATTTGTAAAATCTATCAACATTTATATAAATATACAGTACATATACATTTATAAATTTCTGCAAATGAAACAAAACACAAGATACACTATTGCATTTTGTAAATATTACAAAAACAATCAAAAACATTCAAAACCTCATTGGAGATAACATGCATTTTGTGTTATGCAGTTCATGACAATGGACAGGTTGCATATACTGCAATACTTCAATTCTTCACTTTAATACTACAACGTTCTTCAAATAACGAAGTTTCTGCAAACTGATAGACCTGTTACACTGTTACACTGGACTGGCAAACCACACTAACTCAATAAACACAATATGTTTTTGACTGACCTTATTTTAAATATGTACTGTATTCAATGTTTTGATAAGGCAAGAATACTGTAGCTGTTGGAACAGTTGGTTTTTCATGCATTTGCTAAAGGTAAATGAATATGTTATTAACTTAACCAAATGCCTTCTTAAGGTCCTGATACTCAAGTGACAGACTAAGGCATTAAGTAATAGACGAAGAGCTCTCTCAGTGGATGTGTCTACTTGATGTATAAAAGGTCTCACCTGAAACATGGGACATGTCTTGAGCCTCCTCTGTCTCCATTCTTTGCAGGTATTCTAGGGGAAAAGAGATTGTATCTGCTTTAATCAAATCAAGGGTGCAATGCAATAATGTAAAGACAACACTGCTTATTAAGTGCAATGCCCTTTTCCTTTACCATTTCCTAACCTCTGCAGCATCCCTGTCAGCTGATTGGCAGAAACTGCAATCCTTTAAAATACGCTTTAAAAAGAATTACAGAAATTTCATTACAAGGCTGATGGAGGGCGTGTTGCTGACAGTAGGGTAGAGGGAGGGTGGTGGGAATGGATTTCAGACCACATTTGTTATTTATTGTTAATTTCCTACTGCGTAATAATCCAAAAATGCAAACTGACTGCCGCAAAATTAAGCAGAAAATTAAATGGCCCCAGGTCACCGCAGACACCAGCATTCATTCCCCAGCTGATCCATAGTCATGTTATTTCTAATTTACTGAACATGCATCGATGAACTTTGGAGTCCGTGCTGTGACACACTCACTATAGTTGGCAATCAAAAGGAAAGAAAAAAAGGAAGCAAAAAGACAGAGATTGGCTAGATAAAGAAGCACAAGAAGAAGAGGGAGAAGAAGATGAAGAAGTAGCAGAAGAAGCAATTTACTGAAGAACATCTCATTCAGCCAAGCAGGACTGCATATCTGAGCAGTCACCAGTGTGTGCTGCCTCCATTAATAATAAATACACCTCAAGCATGTGGCAGATGGGCACAACAGCAGCTCCAAGCCCTCGACCGCCACTTCAAGAAGTCCCTGGTAGAGAACTTGCCCAGCTCCCCGTGCCACGCAGGGAGAAGTGAAGCTCCCTAAAATAGCGAAACAAGCCCAGGAGAGAAGGGGAACCTAGGCCTTCCTGTTTTGCTGACAGATGGCTCCACAGATTTGGAACAAATAGTGGGAAGCGGCTGCCCCTTCTGTTGCAACACATAATGTTCAGAAGGGTAACTTTAGAAGTTAAACCACAAACACCAGGGAACCATGAGGGAGGATGAAGGTTAGCGGTGCTGAAGCATTATACATAGAGGAAAACTTTTTGTGTATTTGTACTGTATGTGTACATATGTGTGCTTTCTGTTTCTGTCTCATTATGGAATTATGAGGTCAGGGAGAGCAGACCACTTTACCTGCTCAGCTGGTATGAAAAAGGGGAGATGGGGTTGCTAAGAAGAAAACCATAATTTCCATTTCCTATTTCCATGCAATTTCACCTTAATTCTCAAGGTGAAATCTTGACTTTTGATAAAGTTTAACACTTTCAGATCTGTATATAGACTTGTTTCATGCTGCTTCTTGACAGCTAGAGCCATGTGACAGTGTCATCCTCTATAGCCTAATTTACAGAGGGAAGAAGAAGTGAAAGATGCATGGGCACATATGAAAGGGAGGGAAAAAGGAGGGGGCACTAACTAAATATCTCAACTTAAACAGAATGGAAAAATTTAGGTGTGCTTGTTAAGGCTCACACCTCAGGTCTCTTAAGTCTTAGCTTCACATTTGAATCATTTGAATGCATACTCCTTTACCATCAGATTCCATTGGCAATCCATGTTCAACACATCACACAGATAAATATACCTTTCTTTTTCACCCTGATAACATTTTGAATATACAGTACTTTGGACAGAAATGTGACAGTTTTCGATTAGATCTGTTTCTTTTTAAATGGAGGATGTTAGCTGAATAGTAAGAAAAAGATGATAGTTGGTTGTCAGTTCAAAGAGATCAGCACAAGACTCACTCTCTTATTTATTATTTTGGTCTTGTTGTTTGAGACAAACAATATTTTTGTCAATTAAAATCTATCTTAATTGTCAAGTACAATAGATCTTAACTGTTATAAGAGGTGTACAAAAGGGACTACTTCCCTTTTAGGGGCTGCACCAGATCATAAATGACAAATAACATTGAACAGATGGATAGACCAGTTTTGCATCACCTGAAAAAATAGTCAGATTCTAACATTTCTAGATTTTTAGCCTTTCTCACAATAAATGTCACTTAACACTATTAACTATTACCCTGTTCCTTTTATAAGAAAACACTTGATCTATTATCACCTATATAATACCATTATAAATGTAGCTATAAGCTATGGATTTTGGATACATTTGGATTGTTTAAAACTTGGGGTGTTTTTAAAGAAAAGTATGGGACGGTAATGAAACATGGGGAATTCCCGTTAGGCAGGAAAACCAGAGACACTGAACTAAGGTTCAGAGCTGTATAAAAAGCAGAAAGAGACAGGAAGAGGGCTGTGGGTTAACTAGCAACTTCTCCTGTCCCACCTACTGGGCTGTGATCGAAGGAGCTGGAGTGGGGTGAGAAGAGACGCAGGGTGGAGTGAGGGTAAACAGCTCTACCGTTTAACAGAAACCAGAAAAACAAAAGAAAAACATAGACTTTGCAGCAAAGTGTTCTCCCTGTACAACGTGGAGCCACAGAAATCCACAAAACATACAAATCGACACTTATTGTATAGATTATCAGATCTATAAAACTGCAAAATATAATGCTACAAACATTTCACTGTTAGCCTTCCTTGACTGCTTTATTTCAATTTCCTAAAACATAAACGTTAAAAAACACTACAAACCCTTTTCTCAAGACATCTAGTGCTGGAATCAGTAATGCGATAATGTATTTAAGATGTATATAATTTTATCTCATTTTTCAACTTCACATTTCTGATCTTTGTAACTATGGTTTCAGACTTTACATACGTGTAGTCCCAGTTAAACAGAACAAAAAGCATTATGTCATTAATTTACTGAAAAATAAATAAAAAGTAACGGTCGAAACAGATGATCTTGTTTTGTATTGTAAAATCGACTGTCCATACAAGGTGACAAAACATTTTTTTTAAATGACATATTGTGGAGCACAGATGTATGCAACACTCAAAATCAATGCACCCTTGATAAAAGTACTTCAGAATTAAAACATGTACAGTATATGCATATATGAAACTATCCATTGTTCAGATATGAAAAGTGTTGATATATTAACTATAGGACTATTAATGTTTTACAGCTGTACTTAAAGCAGATGTAATGGAGCTTTAAGTATGACTTTCTGTATATTTTATTGTGGGTAGTGATTTACATAACTTTTGTTCATTTTTCTTAATGGTTTTATACCAGTATGCTTCAGAACACATGCTTAAGGGATAGGTTGAAGAGTAGTGGAAATGTGAGGCTTTTAAACAGGGGTTTTCCTTTAGAGGGCCTATTGGCATCCGGCACACCTCACCAAACTCTGATGCTGAGTGGAAACATTTTTATAAGGGTATTTTAGCACAGACACATTTTAATAACAGAAACACATCTGCACTTCACATTTCGCATTACACAAGTAATTCTGCGTATATATATTATAATGTGTAATCTGTAAATTGAAAATAACAAAATCTGTTTCGTTTTAATGTTTAAAAATGTAATTTGTAAACAACAAATGTTGTTTTTACACTTTTCTAACTGTGATAACTTATTTTCCTTACAATAATGTATCTTTATTTTTGCTGGACATAAAATAGTATTCAAAATGATCAACACATATTTTGATATTTGGTGGTTTTAAAACATGAGGCAGAATGACATGCAATTGTATGCTTTGGTAAAGTTAATTTTGGCATTTACTGCTACACTAGTATTTAGGATTTCAGAAGAAATACTCTATGATAAGTAATAGCACAAATTGGGCAACCCATTATATGAGACACAAGGTATGGTTCAGTATTGTTCAGTGACTTTCAGGGATGTAGACTTCATTTTAAAGCAAAGCTCAAAAAACAGAAATAAAAAATATAAAGTGAAACCACTCACAGTAGCATCATGCTTTCAGACATCTAATCATCAGACAATGCATTCAGGCATTTTCTCAAGACTGTGATGTGTATAACACATTCTTAAGAAAAAAATGTTCAACATTTCTATAAGAGATTAAATCCTTTAGAAGTATCCTGAGCCATATGATTGTTTCAGAGTCATATGTGTGTATCTGTGTGTGTGTAAAGTTTCAAAAATATCTGGATATGATACACTGTTCTCAGGGCACAAACACAACACATTTCTTGATATTGCCATGTACTCAAGATTGATTTACAACATTTAGGGCCTGAGAGGTCTGTATACCTAACAGAAACAGCCGAAAATACCAATGTGTTTTAAGGAGTTTATTATTAAAATGTACAGTAATATGCACAATCTCACAATACTTTTACTGACTGTGCAAGATATTTTATTCCATAATCTGCAGCCAAAACATATACTGTAAATCGTCTTTAATGTTTTATCACTTAACTGTATTATCCAGTTAAAACGTATCTAAAAACATAATTAAGACACAACATATATTACATTTATTAAAAGGGCAGGATTTGATAGATTGCGAGGAATGGCAAATGGAGTCTTAAAACAGTGCGTCGGTGTTCTCTTCAGAAACATTGGATCTATTAAACCCTGAAAAAGGTCTTTGAAGAAAACCTGTTTACTGAAAACTGCCCACAAATCCTATCAATTGAACACTGACTCAAAATGTCCACAAGCATATTGCCCCCGCCGTAAGTTCTTAATGATTAAAACGCAGCCAAAATAAAGCGGAATTTTAGATTAAGTTTATGGAAACCAGATGGTTGTTTATATAATAATAATTATTATTATTAGTAGTAGTATGGTAGTGTTTGTATTCAGGAATTTAATACATTGTTCTGCATGCATTTTGTGGCAGCCAACTGTACTAAAAAAGACATCAAGTTTTAGATCACGACTAAAACTTTCTAACCTTTTTCCAATCTGTAAACTACACGTGCTGCCTATGTGGAATCTACTATCGCTAAAGCATCAATTGTATCCGTCAGTTAAAGCTATACCTATTAAATTTTATGCAATTCTCCATTTCTGCTCATCTCCTTCTGTTAATTCAACTTAAAAGGTTTATCAAACTACAAATCCCACTTCTTTAAGTAAATACTTAATTCTACAATGTTTAAGGGAGAATACAATAATGCATATATTCAAGTGATTATTTAGAGGTTAAGCTGGTGTTTAACTGATTACAAGAAATAGGAAATGTAATCAAATATAGTTTGGGTCCTTAAATAAAATGTTAACAGTTTTGAAAAAAAAATACTTCCCTAAATTAACTTTGTGTTGTTCCTTTTTCAGGTCACCCAACTCCCAGAGTTTTCCAACTGTATATATTTGTATTTATGTTTTATATGTTCATATGAATGTTTTCTGAGCCACCCCCTTATCTGTCTGAGAGTGTGGCACATCGATCTGTCTTTCCTGTTTTGTAAAGTTCTAAAAAATGTCTTTCAAGACAGCATTCACTTGCTGCAAAACTTAGAGCATCGCAGAAAACGTCTCCATCGGACGGCTTGATGTTCTGAGAATTTTCGCTTCGTTTTTACTAAATAGACATTTACAAGAAAACAGCGTCCTGTACAGAGAAGCTGGAAGCCCAAAGCTTCAACAGGTGTCTTTCCATTACCAATTACAAATTAAAACCAATTTCGGCTTTTTATGGTATTTGACCATTTTAAAATAATAATTTCATTTTACCGTGATTATTAAATATAGGATTGATCGCATGGATTATGATACAGTATTAAAAATTGTATTTCTCCTCCAAATAGTCCCTTTGGAATGAACATGAGGAAAGAATTCCTTAGTCCAAAAGGAGAGATAACCGATGTTTCTTTGCTAAAAATATTGCTGTATGCATACATTTATCGATGGTGTACGTATTTATCGAAAATAAAACTAAAGAAAAAAATAAACACCACTTCAGTCTATTAGACGAAACGTGTCGCTCGAGGTCTCTGTGAGACTTCTTATCTCACATGGATAGAAGTCCCATTTGTGCACCTGCTTTGACTTTCGGGACCTCTCAGTCTTTAGCTTTACGAGGCAGCAGTGTCGCTGTTTCAGAAAAAAAAAAGTTACTTAGCTCTAGTTTAAATCCACTTCCAGTCGCTCAATTAGCTTAAAAGCATCAGGAATGTTACTATACCTGCTATTCCTTGAGTTTGCAATATGAAGCTCTTCCAACTCTCCCCCACTCCATGTGCCGCTGTTCTCAGCGCAGCGGCTGCACTATGGAACTCTGCCCTCGGTCCCTCCCCTCTCCACTCCACTTCCTCGTTCCAACCTAACATTGCTGAGTTTCTGCACTCGTACTAGGCATTTTGCAAGCTTTTATCCAGAGCCCGGGTTTCTTCAGAGAATCGAAGCAGCAGCCCTTGGCACATGCTTTGTGTCGTGCCAATAAAAGATGACACCCAGTAGACCATCACTGGCAGTCATGCATGAGAGGACATGCAGCAAGCGGGGAGACTGGACCATTAATTATTTATTTTTGAGGGAAGGAGGGGTGGTCCACCACTTACTGAATACCAGGATTTTTGGTTTTCACCTGTATTGAAGTTCTTAGTATATTTATATTCCTAAAGTGCTTCTCACAGCGGTAAAACAAGAGCACTTGAGTTTGACCTTTTTATCAAAGTAAAACTAGTCTTGGATCGACATTTTTTCCCATTTCCTAAGGACTTTGGGTCAATTTTCTATAGATCTGATCTTGCCTTGGAATGTAGAGAGTTTAATAGGCTAAGTCATACATTTAAACAGATTTTAAATGTTAATGCTACAATATACACATACCTTTATAAGAATAGAATGTTAGACATTTTTATTGTTAAGTCTTGATATTGCTATACAGAACACGATTCACTTTTGGAATACGTTTTTAGTTTTGCTTATTTGATGTATGATTATAAAGAACAACATTGAAAACCATAATTAGGGTGGACATTTAAATACTTACTACAATATTATAAAGAGGTACAGTAGTTCAGTAAATGAATACTGTATGTACAGTACAGTATGTGCCTGTTTGATATGAAATGCATACATAATTTCTACAGTGTGGTAATATCTGAAATTTCCTTTTTAAAACCCTGGTGGCTGTTTGAAATATGTTAAATATATGTTATCTATAAACTGGTGCTGTATCTTAAATTAGTTGATCTGGCAGAAATTAAAAAAAATGAAAATGCAATGAGCATTCATTATAAAGTTTGAGCTGTTAGTCATCTAATCAACAGTGCTTGAGATATTGAGGTATTATTTCTGCAACATTCAGTGAAAATACACTAGGAATTTACAGCCATTATTTGAAAGTGTTACTGTTCACTCAACAGTACATCTGAATAACTGCTAAATAAACTTCTTAAATTACTTAGATGGAATTTATAAGGTTTTAATTATAAAAAAGTACATGTAACGGGCTTTAAAACAGCAGTTACAAAATATCTAAAAATTGTGATGAATTTATGTTGCTGAACAACATGTGCTCTGTTGTACTGTATTTGTGGAGTTTTTTCACTCTGTGGAAAACTATAAGTTACTCAGGTTGTTTAAATCTGCTGATTCTCCATATAAGTTAGTAAACCATATACTGTAAGTAACACTAAATGTATCCATAAAAACTTATTTCAAATATGAGGTCCCAACACATTCATCTACATTTGTGTGATCCTCCCATTATTGTATGCTTGTATAGTAATTTAATCATTCTTAATATCGCTTGCAACTGATGGATCTTTCTAACGCAGATCATTTCCATCTCTGTAAAGCTGCTTGATGATAAACAATACATAGAAAGATTGGCGAACAAAATTATCAATGATATGATATTGTAGGATAATACTTTCCAACACAAGTATGTGAATGCCACTCCCTGGACAGAGGATATTCCCACAGCACACTGAAATAAGTTCCACAATCTTTAATTTTTTATTCCATTTTAAGTGGATAGGAACAAATTCTCATCCAAAATAACTAATAGGAGCCCGGCCAATTTATATTAACATTACTATAAATACTGTTATATTACGATTACGATTTCTACTGCACATATGGTATAATAGGACACATACAGGAATATCAGCATCCTGAACTTTAACCTTTATCTGAATATATTTTTAAGGGAGTGTGTTATCCATTTACAGTGTATGTGAAAAATCAGCACCTGGAATTTGCAGCCATTTTGTGCCACTGAAATCAGTTTAAATGAGTACCTACCTACCAAACTGTTAGTACTGTATCATACTATTCCATTCATCCCATCCCATTCATAGACTTTTATACAAAGACGATTATACAGTATGTTCTTTATTTGATATTACTACATTTTCTTTAGATATAAGCATTTTATCTGTGATTCTTTTTAGTGAGTCATAGGTATTGATTTTCTGACTATCAGCAGTCATTGAAGGGATGTGAGAGATTAAAACCATACAGTAGCTGAACATCAGTTGCATTTTAATTCATAAGTCCAGACTGAAGTGGAAAGTATGAAAGACACAAAGTGACCCAGGATGAAATCCAAGGATTTATTTTATTTAGTACAGGAAGAATGTTTTAGCGAATGTCTGAACATGTTTTGTGTTGAATCATTCTCTGGTACTTTTAGAAAATGGTTGCCTGTACTATACCAAGTAATGTTTACATAAGAATTACATAAGAAAAGTCACAAAGGAGGCTATTTGGCCCATTAAGATGGTTTTGCAGTAAGTACTGTAGCTAATTGCCAAGACAATCTCATCCATCCATTTCTTGACAAAGTGTCAACTTTAATGACAACTGTATACTGTCCTTAAATCAACACTGATTGTCAGACTATTCCATTGGACACCAAGATCTTGGGTCCATTTACAGCTATGTAGAAATTGCCTTTGTAATTATTTGTCAAATGGAAAATAAAAAGAGTTACTATGTTAGTGTTTTTAATTTGAGCAAAGGTGATACATTAATGACGAAATGTATTTTTCCTTAGACAAATATCTAAAAATATATTAATAAAACATTGTTGTCTTCATGTTTCATGGCAACCTTTAACAAATGTTATTGATTTAACATAGGCTGGAGAATTATACTGTACTGTATATGCAGCTATTGAATTATTGGATGACCAATGGGAATTTAACAAATCGGTTCTTTTGTGATAACTACAAACAGAATAGACTGCCATAGAATGGAAATTTATTTTAAATCTAATATTGTTTTTGTGGAATATTCAATGGTAAGATTTTCCATTAACCCATTTGCAGCAAACCAAACTATTCTACAAGAACCCTTTAAGAATAGTCGAAAAGGCACACGCAGCTAATAAATTACTGGTAAGTTGTATTTTTTATAGATCATTCTGTAATAAACTTTTCCAATTATTTATATTAATAAACATATTTAAATTATTCTAAAATGAAAAACAATCTTGAAATTTAGATAAAGGTATCATGACATTCACTAAAACTATACATTATACATTTCTGAAACATGTTCTTTTACATTAAGGTTTATTTTTTCCATATATCCCTTGACATAAATATAAGAAAGATAAGATCTCATCTCTCTTATACAGTGTATATGGAAAGGGATAGATATACAGTATATATGGATATATATATAGAAAGGGATATATACTGTACATGTATATTCCATCTACACTCCATAATGAATATATGACCATGTATATATTTATATACATACATATCTACTGTGCATTCACATTTTTATCAAAACATAGTCCTTATTGTAAAATATAACTTCATTAAGGACTGCTGTAACTAAAATTTAATTATATGTAAATTTTTTTCTATCTTTATATTAAAAATCGATTTAATACTGTAAACAACTAGTGTCTTGAATCACATTGCAAGCTATGCAAGTCATATACAGTATACACTGGTAAGAAATACAATATATAAAATATCTAACCCAATGTACTTTTAATGTATTACCATATAAAATCGATCAGATTTGAAGGGACAATTCAAGATTTAGAATACAATTTAAAGAAATATTTAAAAACACACACAGAACAACAAGTGACAGGATGTGTTTAAAATATTTTTGCACCTGTACTAAATTGGCTCTGTTTTTTTTTATAAATGGAAATGAACCCCAGCACATTTTCCAGAAGTTTAAGAAATAACAAGTCGATTTCACGTTTCCATATTTACGATGTATCTCGCTTGATTTACACCTAGAACTTTATACATATACATTTGGAAAATGGATGAGCAAATTTTTCAGATGCACAAAAGACTTTGAAAAACACACTTTAATCTGCCTTTTTAAGTACCTAAATATGAAGCCCGTCACATTTTCCACACAGACAATGTTGTGATAACAATACAGATGAGGTAGAATAGATCTTTTAAACCCAGATTAAATTGATTTTATTTAACCTGTTCTTTTAATTGCAAAACTATCTTCTGAGCGAGATGCAAAATATTTGAACAGTGTTTTGTGATGCTGGATATACAGTATTTACCACTATGACTTTATTTCATATTGTTGAAGGAGCTCAAAATCCTGTGACCACCAGATATACTGTATAATAAAGAACTTTGGCTTACTAATACTTAACAAAGAATTAAATTGAAATTCTGAAAATGTTTGATTTCGATTGAAAACTAATTTTAAATTCATTACTTAAAAAATCTGCCATCAATAAAACAAATGTACAAATTTTGTAAAACAAACTCCAAAGAAGTAAAATTGTCCAAACACTCACACTTAATTAATCATGACTACTGTTTTACCCATTCATCCGTTTTATAACTGCTTTATCTGATACAGGGTCACAGTGGAGCTGGAGCCTACACAGCAAGGCAGGATACACCCCTCAATACCAGGCAGGTAGGGATGCCAGTCCGTTGCAGATTACAATATATTATGTAGTTATACTAGATTACAAAAAATATGTAGTTGCATATGAATCATCCCACAGAAGAGCACCAGACACATACTGTATCCAGGCTCAAAAGAATGTCCTACACTGACGGGCTAAAAAATCTGAATGATTTCATTCTTGAACAGATAACACCATGAGGGATCCTGAGTCAAATATTCAAGATAAAGAAACAGTAAATCCAATGGATCTCTCAAGAATTCACAGAGAAACACAAACCAGAGGACACACCCCTCTTTTTGTAGCATTTTGAAACCCAGAAGATTATCTGCTTCATTTCAGGATCTTCAATTCACAAAATCACGCTTTGTTGATTCTTTCACAAACTTCTGTCTATTGCTTTCCTCTTCCATCTTGCTCCTCTTCAACAGTGATTGCATCTTGTTGTCTTACAGAAGTCTCCTTTGACATTTTTGGTCTCCAGTTCAGTTTGGGGTTCAGTCCATAGTTTACTTGGTACAGTATGTTAATTATCAGATTAGACAGATAAGGATAAAACACAAAAAATGC